ATCAAAGACGATTGCAGTATGTAAACGCGAACGTTTCTCGTTTATCGACTTTAACTGATTTTATTTTATTCTCTCTATCTCTCTCTTTATTAAAGAAAAGCCGCGACAATGTAACTGCATTTTATACACATACATATACACACACACACACATACACATACACAAAGGACTAGAGATTATCGAGTTATTATCTTAGAATTGTCTCTCGATAGTGGTCCAAAAATAATGGAACAAATAAAGTTATAAATAATCAATTAAAAAGATTATACATACTTGAGTATAGTGATAAATAATATTTGTTCTCGTACTGCAAATGGCTACGTATTACAACTAAGTAGATGCAGTGATTATTGTATTGAGTAATTGTTTACACACATAATTACACACACGTATTGCTTTCGTCTTGCTTGAGTTTTGTCTTTCTTTTTTTGTACGCAGCGAAAAATACTTACATACTTTTGAATCTTATTTATTATTATTTGTCTTTCTCTACTCTAGATTTAATACAAATTATACGTACGGCAATCTGCACTGTTATCAGGAGGCGGAAAATATAGTTTGTCATTATTATATGTTATTGCTTATAACATGAGTCAAATTCCATATTTTTTTCATTCTTAATTTAACGTATACATATGCATATTTACATGTGAATCTTATGCAACAGTATAGTCAGTATCTTTCTTCCGAATTCTCGTGAATTTTTTCGGAGATCTGTCTCCTAAAGACTCGATGTGACGCAGAGAGCCGTGCTGGTAGTTTGTGTTGAGGCTAAATAGCATTTCACCCTCATTAAGTAGGCATATCCACACGCTAAGGTACACATCCACTTACACACCTACATACACACACGAAAAGGTAACAGAACATGACACACTCTATATCACACATTTAACGAGACAAAAAAAAGTGGATAATGGATTAACGGTATTCTAAATGTAACATGTATATGATGGCTGTACAAATGTAACATTTTTTTCCATTATGTATGATGATATAATAATAATAATGATGAAAAGGAAGATTTGATGCAAAAAGAAAATGTAATTGAACAAAAGAAAAAGAAATGTGTGTACGTCGATTGATATGAACGCCGACATCTCGAAAGCGATGACGCGATAAGGTCAATCTGCCGGCACAATCGCGCGAGTGATTCACCAATAAACTATT